CATGTCAGTTTATGCTTTTGCCGTTAAAACGTTGATTTTAATCTCAAAAGCTACATGGTTAGATGGCTATCTCACTTGGACCCACTTTTAAGTTGCATGTCTAAGGATTTCAATGTCCAGTCTGTGCAGCTAATATTTGTACAGTGATTTGCATTTCCTCCAATTTAGTGTAGGGAAATCATTCAAAATAACAAATTGATCTTAACATGAAGTTTGTTTAGAGCCCAAAAACTTTTGAAAGTACTTAAAATATAGACAGTTGTTTAATTTGTTGTCCTTACCATCCTTTGTTTGTGGAAGATATTTATTTTAAACTTCTTTGTCTGCATTTGTGGCCTGGGAGCTCTATCTACTATAATATGGTTATGACAACTGTCAGCATTATTATTCTTTTTCATTTACATTCTTTTGAAGAATTTTTATATGCTTTTCAGACTCCTCAAACTCCAATTGTGCGCACAAAAACATATACAAAGTACTGCATGGATGAATATCCTTCAGGAACAAATGCAATAGTAGCGGTGCTGGCATATACAGGGTTTGTATTTCAGAAAAAAATGAAGTAACATTATCATGTTGAAGGACCCAGAAATTTTAACTTATTTGTATTATGTAGATATGATATGGAGGATGCCATGATTTTGAATAAGTCATCTGTGGAACGTGGGATGTGTCATGGACAAATATACCAGGTTTGTTCTCATCTTCCTGCATGGTTTGATTTACATTTTTCTTGTCCTGGAGTATTTCAAGTGGGGGAACCAATTGTCAATTATTTTGTTCCTTAAAAGGCCAGTCAAGGTTAAAAATATTTTCATTGTGCAGTCACTGCTATACTATTGATTTGGCTACTTAACAACTGATAGTTTGAAATTTTGAATAGGAATTAAAGTTGTGAAACTAAATGACCTCACAACTATCTCTGTTGACACAGCTTCTTGGGTTCTGGGACTCCAGACACCCCTTAAAAGTTACCTGTCAAGTAATAACAAGTTTTCTCTTTCATGTATAAAGTTCACCGATTTGTTTATTTCTCTCTCTCTCTCTCTTTTTCTCTCTCACTCTCTCTCTCATATTGTTTGATGCTAATGCTGACGCATATGGTTTTTTTTCTATGTCGCTTTTTACTGTTGCTTTTTGTAATATTGATTATTTTGGTAGACGGAAACTATTGACTTGGGTGATGATAAGAGCAAGTCAGATCGAGGTCAAAGAATTTTTAAAAGAGAACATTCAGATAAGTCAATATCTTCTTGTCTTGATTCAGATGGACTTCCACATGTTGGTCAGGTTAGATTCTGTTTTGTTTTTGCCTCTTTCATTTTTCAAACAATTCTCTCATGCTATATTTTTGACCAACTCATTGGTGACAATATTCAGGTGATAAGCCCAAATGAACCTTATTGTAGCACCATTAATCAGGTGACAAATTCAAAGAGACTCTACAATCACAAGGGTTCAGAAACTGTTATTGTTGACTATGTTGCAGTTGATACCAAAAACAAGAAGCATCTTCAGAAGGTAAGCAGCACACTCTCTTTAATACTCATTCATTGTCAGAGAAAAGCTTAAAAGCGTACAAATATTGACTAGGGTGTATTAATGAACTTTCTCTGCTTGTTATTTCTAGATACGATGCTACCAGCTTTTTCTGACTTTCAGTGTTAAAATTGGCATAGCAGATCATTGTTATCTTCTGCATTATCAAGAGATCACTACGTTATTTTCTAGGAAATATTGAACCTAAAGCTAAGAGATCAGTAACATTAGTTTCTGCATGTATCCAATTTTCTATTATGTGTCAAGTATTTAACATCTTACAGGACTATATGGATTAGAAATATTAGAAAGCAATAATTGTATAATAACACCTTTATTTTGTTTTCTTAATGCTTTTTTACTTTTTCAGTTCTGTTTTGCTACAATAAGAATTTGATCCTAAAAATCTCACTTTGATCATATTTTGTTGTATAAGAGGTCATCTGGAAGCATTCTTTTCTTCTGAAATCCATCAGTCATTTGATTACTTAAATATCATCACTCTGTCAATGTCTGTTTTTACACATGTTTTGAGCAGGCTAATATTCGCTTTCGACATCCAAGAAACCCTATCATTGGTGATAAATTTAGCAGTAGACATGGGCAGAAAGGTGTTTGCTCTCAGTTGTGGCCAGATATTGACATGCCATTCTCTGGAGTTACAGGAATGCGCCCTGATCTTATAATCAATCCTCATGCATTTCCTTCAAGAATGACAATTGCAATGCTTTTGGAATCTGTTGCTGCTAAGGTACTAGCAATTAGTGAAAGAAATTAGTTGTGAATAGTTGTGGCACTGATACTCGAAGATTGGCAAACAATTAAATTTGTGATGCTATAATCTTCAATGGAATCTTAAACTGCAGTAAGAAGGGAATAATTGTTTAAGGTTCAAACTTCAACCGGTTCATTAGTTTGGGCTTTTTGTCTAATATTTGTGGGTGATTTTATGTTCATTGGTTAAAATAGAATCTTCGGTTTCCTTTTTCAAAATTTTATTTGTTTATGATGGCTATTGTAATTGAGTCCAAATTATCAGTTTGTAAGATTGAACTTCTATGTTTTCAAAGTATAATGCAAGGGTTTTGAGAAGCTCAATACTTGAAGACCCAAATTGTTGCATGGATGTTTAAATATTTCCTATTGCAGGGAGGAAGCTTACATGGGAAATTTGTGGATGCAACACCATTTTCTGATTCAGTGAAGGAAGCTAATGGAAAGACTGAGACAGAGTCTGGGTCTCTTGTTGATGAACTCGGTTCCATGTTAAGAGCTCGTGGGTTTAACTACCATGGAGTAGAGGTATTATACAGTGGGGTCTATGGAACAGAACTAACATGTGAGATATTTATTGGCCCTGTTTATTACCAGCGGCTTAGACACATGGTCTCTGACAAATATCAGGTATGAAATTATTTTGAATCTTTTTCTTTTTCTAGAAGTATTCTATGAAATTTCTGCATTTGCCAATAATAGAGTTGGCATTTCTTATTTAGACAAGGGATAATAAATAATTCTTTAGCTTGTCAATGAACCTTAATTGATTTTTTTTTTATAATTCTTTAATTTATATAAAATATATGACTCATGTTCTCTCTCTCTCTCTCTCTCTGTGAGTGCAGCCGTCTACATATAGTAGTGCTTTTTAGAAACTTTTTCTTGTTGTTTATTTTAACTTCTTTTGGCCATGGTTTAGTAGCTTTTAAATATGACTGTTGGAAGTTTACACCCGCTGACCAAGTCTATTTGAATATGGCCTAAATATTTAGTAACGTTTTCTGATGGAGCAGGGTGCTGTTATGCTTTGCCTGTGGAACTCTATTGAATTGTTGTGCTCTATTGTGTGGAATTTTCTTCTTCATATTGATGTATGAGCAATTATTTGTTGGATCGCTCAGTCTTGTATTTGTTCTAGGAATTGGTTAATTTCGCTTTGTAATTATTGTGCCATATGCAGGTTCGTGCCACTGGACAAGTCGACCAGATTACACGACAGCCGATCAAAGGAAGAAAGCGGGGCGGAGGTATACGTTTTGGGGAAATGGAACGAGATGCTATGCTAGCTCATGGGGCTGCGTATCTGTTGCATGATAGGCTCCATACATGTTCTGATTATCACATTGCTGACGTCTGCTCTCTGTGTGGAAGCATCCTTACGACGTCCATTGTCCAGCCTCCAAAGCGAGTAGTTAGAGAGATTGGTGGGTTGCCTCCTGCAAGGGCGCCAAAGAAGGTTACATGTCATGCATGCCAGACAAGCAAAGGGATGGAGACCGTCGCAATGCCTTACGTTTTTAGATATTTGGCTGCTGAGTTGGCAGCTATGAACATAAAAATGACCATACTGCTTAATAGTGGAGCTGGAGCTTGAAAGCTATTGCAGTTGTCAAAGGTTTTGTGCAAAATCCTAATCATCAGGGAATGAAGAATGTTGTTGTGATGGCAGGCTGGAGAGAGATAGGAATGATTTCCACCGATATGGAGGACTTAAGATTTTAAACGAAGGGGGGCTATTGGGTGTTTCCTGTATATATACTGATAATGTTGGAGTTGGTTTTGTTTATATGTATAATGTATTTATTTCTTTTGCAGTTATGCTAAAATTTTGCTCTGTAACCAGTTTTCTAATAACTACCTGTTGTAATTTTCTTCCTGCTATATTTTATTATTTCTGACCTCTTAAATTAGCACAATTCCTGTATTTTGCTGTTGATTGAAACTGAGTTATTCCTACTTTGAAGCATTGTGATTCCTTCTTGAGGCAAATGAATTACTACTAATTTATGATTTCATTGGAGGCCAACAATCCTAAACAGTGGCATCAATCAGTGGGAGTGGAAGGCAAAGGGAGGAGAAGTTCATTAGTTTGGAAGTGATAACACTATTAGGAACATACTCCCTTGCAGAAGACACTGGTATGACTAGCTATGAAACCTTCCATGGGTATTGAGAAGCAAGCTCAATGAAATGAGGAGATGGAGGTCATTGCCTAAGACATTGGCTTTTGATGGGAGTGCCATGGCAAAGAACTGCGGCCAATGAGGGTGCGGCATGGTAGCCTCAATTTAAATTTGTGCTATGAGAACCTCTAGCTTAAGACAGATTAAAAGGATAAACCAGAGCCACTTACCTTAATTTTTCTTCAAGAAATTTACGAAAACATTGAATTGCGGATGGGGTGAGGTAGTTAACGTGGTCATCTACCTCGCCTTGTTTAAAAATGTATCTATTTTCTGTCTTGCTCACCTCCAAATTCTTCAGATCCACTTCTTCAATCACTCTGTGATCCTCTTTATTTGCAGCTTTGGGTCTTTCTTCCTGTGCTCATACTTGAGAAACAGTAGCTTGTTCGGTTTCTCTAAGCTCTCCTTCCAGTACCCTAACACATGATCCGAGAAGGGTCTAGACGATTCCTCAAATGGTCAATTTGCATGCTCCGGCTTGCTTCTAAGAAAGAAACAATGGCATCTAAAGAATTGCGAGCCACATACACAATTCGGGCATTGGATTGCTTGCTGGATTGTGCTAGCGTTAAGGTATGGCGATGGAATGGTAGCAAGATCGGGGATGCCATGACCTTCCTTGGATGCTCTTATCTTGAAATAGCTAAGTTACAAGTGCAGAGTTAAAGGAGCTGTCCGAGAGTAGTGCATACCGAGTGCGGTTCACAAAATGGTGAAACCAAGTGCTTCCAGCCAAGTAGTGCCAGCTTTTGGCTTTTTGGCTACGATTGCTGGGAAATGTTTCTAAAAGGATATATGATGTTACGGAACCAAGTTAGGGCAGCCCCAACATCCTTGGAATTGGGTGAAAACGGGACCATGGCTTATGGGGTGGTGGTTTTGATGATGGTATGTACGTAATAAAGCTAGAATTTTGCTCTCTTCTGTACCAAATTTATATTATTAAGTTGCAGTTGCATAACTTAAGGGGTTGTTTTCTTTTATAGCCAATGTGAGTTGACAAAGCAAGGGACATATATATTGTGTAAATTTCATGAGTGAATCTCATGATCATACCAGTTGTGAATCTCATGAGTGAGGGAACTAAAATCCTCTTATCTTATTTATTGTGTAATTTTTTTTTCATAATTTTGCATAAGGTGCTCAGAAAATTTTTCATATTAACATTATTCTTATCATTAAGTTATTTTTTTAAAAACAAAAGCTTTAAAGATTAAAATTTTATTGATAATTTAAAACCCACTACATGACATTAAAATTTTTAAAAAAATAAACAAGACACTTAATTATGATAACAAATAATTTTTATTCCAAATCAAGATGACATATATATAATTTTGTCGAAGATTTTGTTTACTAAGAGTAGCTAAGAAACCAACAAGATTTGCACAAATAATTCTATTAAAAACCCATAGAATAGCACCCAATACTTGTGCAAATCTTGTTGGGGATCTACCCTCTCCGTCAAGCAAATCTAGACAAAATACAAATTATCTTATGGTCAAAGGCAGAGCAAAGAGGATAATGGGTGGTGGTGACCATCATCTCTAAATTTTTAATTTTCTTTATTATTATATGTATAAAATCTAATATATATATATATATATATAGTATGATTATCTTTATAATTACCCTTTAGTCATCATTCATAAAAAGTTTTGAATTTGTCGTTGCTAACATGTAATGAAAAATTAATCCATGTATCCATATTTTAAAAAAATCTATGAAAATTTTGATTAATAAAAAATTTTATCGATGCTTTAAAGTATAATCACATAAAAAAGTTCAAATAGTTAAGAAAGAAGAATGAGATCAAATATCGATAATCGTTACATAATTTTTATGAGATACATAACCATAGACAATCATATACTTGTAATTGATAGCTTATCATATTATTAATTGAAAAAGTAAATTTTTAAAAATGATAACTCAACTAAACTATACGTGGAATATAGTTCATTCTCTTTATTTGGATATTTAGTATAAGTCAGAGATTAATTGGTTTTTGAAATGTTATGACATGATTTTATGTTGTGTAATAACTCTAAGTACTAATGAAAGTGAGGCGAGTACAAATTGTAATTTTAGTACTTTTGAGTTTTTAAAATAAAAATATAAAGTTTGATTAAATAAAATAAAAAACAAGAATTTATTTAAATTTTTTAAAATATTTTAAATATTTTTTCAAAACAAATACCCTGAAGCCATAAAGCTCAAGGGCAAGACTGTTCTCCTTCACTTCCTCCAATTACTTACTCCCAACACCTTGCTACTGTTTAAAAACGTCTGAACTCTCTCTTTGTAGTATGGTTTAACTAAGATAGTTTAATCCACGTTAAACTTATATACCTTACTGAATCCTAATTATATTAGGATAAAGGTTACTGTGCTTAACTCTATAAAGGGATCCCATGACATTAGACAAAGAGTAGTGAGTTTAAGACAGTTGCTTTGAATTTTCTCTAGTGATTGCTCCACAACTTCGACAGCAACCTCTAATCCTACCTACAAAAACCAGAGTCTTCCCTCGCCGATTCTTACTTGCGGAGCTGGCATGGCGATCGCAGCGTGCATTCCAGTGAAGGAGCAGATTGAGTTGACGGAAACGGAAAGGAAGATTTTCGATAGGCTTTTGAACACCCTTCGCTACTTTAATCTCCAAACTCAACTTCGAGTTGCCGGTGGATGGGTCCGGGATAAGCTTCTTGGCAAGGAATGTTGTGACATTGACATCGCACTTGACAATATGTTGGGCAGTGAATTTGTTTATAAGGTTGGGGAATACTTGTCATCTATAGGGGAAGAGGCCCAAGGGCTTGCTGTCATACCTAGTAATCCTGAGCAGTCTAAGCACTTGGAAACAGCAAGGATGCGCCTTTTTGATCTATGGATTGATTTTGTCAACTTAAGGAGTGAGGACTACAGTGAGAATAGCCACATCCCTGGAAGGAAATTTGGTACTGCTGAGGAGGATGCATATCGAAGGGATTTGACCATTAATAGCTTGTTCTACAATATTAACACCAACTCAGTCGAAGACTTCACTAAGAGAGGGATCGAGGATCTAAAATTTGGAAGGATAGTGACTCCATTAGCTCCAAAGGAAACGTTTTCGGATGATCCCCTACGGGTTCTTCGAGCTGTTCGTTTCGCTACAAGGTTTGGTTTTGCGCTGGATGAAGAATTAAAGAGTGCTGCTGCTTGTGATGAAGTAAAAACAGCTCTTGCAGATAAAATTAGCAGAGAGCGCATTGGAACTGAAATTGATCTCATGATCTCTGGCAATCAACCCGTTCAAGCAGTTAACTACATTTGTGATCTGACATTATTTTGGGTTGTTTTCAAGCTCCCTCCGGGGGTTGAGCCTGCTGTATCAGAAGGATGCTACAGGCTTTCTGCTGCTTATGTGGATGCAACATGGAAACTTCTCCAACGTATTGGATGCTCCAGCTTTAGTGGGGAACAGAGAAGGCTGGCTTTGTATTCTGCTTTATTTCTTCCATTGCGCGATGCCACATACAAGGATCGAAAAGGTAAGAAGATTCCTGCTGTCAGCTACGTTTTCAAGGATTCTCTGAAGCGAAAAGCAAGTGATGCTGAAACGGTCATAAACGTCCACAAGTCATTGGACAAATTCTTATCTTTGATTCCTTGCCTTTTATCAAATGATGATACGCAACTCACCAAGGTGGACTGGGGACGAGAATTTGTCGATGTTCCTGTTAGTTCACAACTGCGGGTACTGACAGGGTTTCTTCTCAGAGAGATTAAAGATTTTTGGCGAGTTGCTTTGTTGATGTCTACATTGCTATTTCCCACTGATATTGGCTGCACTGAAGATGATGGAGACAAGCAATTTCAACTGGATAAAAGAGAAGAGCTTTTTGTGTCAGTTGAGAATGCCGTGGTTAAATTAGGTCTTGGGAAAGTTTGGGATATAAAGCCATTGGTTAATGGGAAGGACATTATGAATGTTTTGAAGCTTAGAGTTGGAGGGCCACTTGTCAGTGAATGGCATCAAAAAGTTCTCGCATGGCAGCTGGCACATCCTTCCGGGACTGCAGAGGAATGTGTTGATTGGATGAGGGAAAGATGCAGCAACTGCTTGGTGGCCAGACATTTTTGTTCAACCTAAGATTATCATCCACTGCTGGGGTTGGGGTTGGGGTACTTTTCTCATCATCCACTGTTGTAAACCTCAGGGTAAATGGATAAGCAATTTGTCTGTACATTTACTACTTGAACAAAGTAGCGTGTTCATTACATAAAACTGTTGTAGGAAATTGGAGTAGGTTTGATGAGGGTGGTAGGCACCCAGGGCATGGGATGCAATAACATACATCTTATGGTTAGTGGTGTAGTTGTTCATCCTTTCTGTTTCCTTAGTAGCCACTTCACAAATGTTTGAAGAAAATGTAACTAATTTTATTGGTAAAATATTTTGATTATTTGTACTAAGAACTAGATAAAATTTTTTTTGAGATGTTGATATATAACATGGGGAATGCCAGAGAGGAGTTGACTAGTGCAATTTCTTAGTTAACTCCCATGCTTTGCATCAAGACTTAGGAAATTGACTTTCAACTGCTAAAAGCGGATTACCAGTAATTATTTCATGTGAGAAAGTAGAAGAATAAATTTATTGCAGAAAAGTATTCTTGTTTGGAAACAAGAATGAGGAATACAAGATTACAAATTAGAAAAAGAATAGAAATGATGAAACAGGAATTATTTAAGAACGAATTAGTAAGAGAAAGCAATAACAAACAGTCCCAAAGTCAAATCAAAGATGGATGAAAGAAAAAGGAAGGAAGATCAATCAAACATTATTTGAGTACTTGAAAAAGAAAAATAAAAATTATGGGGTGCACTGGAAGTCAGAGGAGACCGGCCTTCCACAGTTATTGAGTAGGACGCTCAATGATATTGGAAGGTTGAGGTCAATGCCCAGGACTTTGGCTTTGATGGCAGTGCAAAGGCAAACAGCAGCTTCGAGATCAGCCAAGCCTTCAATGAGCGTGCAGCATGGTTGGGTTGGTACGTCACCAAGCTCAACTTTCACCAAACCATTCAGCAGATTAGCACAGACACCTAGTTTCAGGGGGTTGCAAGTGGACTTGCCCTGCTGGTTGAGGGCACCAAGGATCATGGCTGCTGCTGGAAGGATATCGACCGGTTTTCCGGAATTTGTCGTGGAATCTTTTGAATTATCATTGGAGTTATCTCCACTTCCATTTGATAAATCGTTGAAGTTTGATAATCCCTTCCCGTTTGATGAATCCCCATTTAATACATCACGTAAAATTTCTCCAACTCCTGGTGACGAATCATCGGAGTTTGGTCTTTCACTTGCAAAACTTCCATCATTTGATGAACCGTTGGAGTTGCTTTGGATTTGATTAGACGAATGATGGTCATGAGAGTTTTCTCCAACTATGTTTGATGAATCATCGGAGTTTGTTCTTCCACTTACAAAACTTCCATCATTTGATGAACCATTAGAGTTACTTTGGATTTGGTTTGACGAATGATGATCATGAGAGTTTTCTCCAACTCCGTTTGATGAATCATCGGAATTTGCTCTTCCACGTGCAAAACCTCCAACATTTGATGAACCGTTAGAGTTACTTCGGATTTGATTAGATGAATGATGGTCATGAGAGTTTTCTCCAGCTCCGTTTGACGAACCATTGGACTCTGCAGGTTGATAGTTCACATTGCGGGAGCTGACCAAAGCAAAGAAAAGGAGGTTGAGGGAGACAACGAGGGCAGTCGATACTCCAGCCTTTGAAGCCATATGATATCCTAATGAAAATTTCGAAGTGCTTGAGTGGTTTTTTTGTTTAGAGAAATGCAATCGATGGGGACCAAGGTTAAGTGGGCAAAGGGCTTTATAAGAGAGATAATAGTTCTAAAAAATTGGAAAGGAGACACACGCAGGCACATTCTCTATTGAAGGTTTTGCTGTAATGTTGGTAGGCAAATTAATATTAAATTGCAGACAAATAACGAATCTCCCACGTTTAAGGTCAGTTCTTGATGTAGAAGACGTGCCAGAGATCATAACAAGATTTGCAAAACTTGGCTATGAGTATCTACATTGGAGATTTGCGACTGAGACAAAGGTGTTCTTTGTTGGAGGAAAATCGGTCAAGTGCATTAAAAAATGTAGATAAGAATAAAGGAGAATAAAATCTCTATCTTGATAGCGTTCAATATATATTCAATGTTATGAATGTTAGATAGCAGTAAAGTTTGAGACATTCTTGGTCACTTTCATCAACTTGCCAGACAGCCTAAGTCCTAATTAACGAATATGGCATAACGAAGTGGCTCAACGAACTCAATGTCTTTCGACCCTAAAAATTACAGGGAAAACACAAACTTTAACACAGGTATTTTGTCCAAGGGGAAAGTCAAGAGGATAGGGTAGAGGAACCAACCAGCAACTCTATCGGCCTCTTCCTCAGACATGTGAGCTTTAAACAGATCAGGAGTATGATATTTATAAATAGAACGAATTTCAGACTGGTCACTGTTGCAGAAAGCACAACATTTCAATATAGCATATAATTCAATCCATCATTTAAATAAAGTCAAGCAAAGAAAGGCCTGTGCATACCATTTAAGCATGTCTAGCAGCAAAGCTACCTGATCATCCTCTGTTTTGTCATCTACCAAGCATACTTTGTACCACTGCCATTCCATAACAAACAGCCATGAGGCTATTGTCAATAATAAGCTCTTTGAAAACATGAGAAATGAGAGTGAATAATGTGACAATCCACATTATGCATAAAGGGTACAAACTCAACAAAATAGTTACGCCTTAATCACTAAATATAACCAATAAGAACCTATTAAAAGTTCCAAATGAAGCTCATATATCATTCGGTTAAAGTGTTGATATGCATTCTTTCACTACTTGAGCAATGAATCTTTTCACAAATTGTTCACTGATAAAATAAAATTGTTGTATTACAACCCAATCCTAAATAGTGAAAGCCAATTTTACATTTCCACATTGAGAGAATTTCAGGAAAAGGTGGGGAAGAGAATAATTGCTTTTTAAGAGTGGAAACAAGAAGACAACTTGACATCACTATTTACACCTCACAAATTAAAAGCAACAAAAAGATATAACAAACCCCTTTCCCGAACTCATCAAAACCAAAATAACTCTCGTATTTGTCATCAGAGAAGCCACTGAAATCATAGCTGCATTCTTCCTCTGAAAAAGCAATTATTAAAAAAAAAAAAAAACAAAGGAGAGAATCATCATCAATGATAAAACAACACAAACTTAAGTTCCAAAATTGTAAGAGGTAAAACTACCAAAAATCACAAACACATGAGCAACAAAGAAAGGGAAACAAAAAAATCCATAATTTTATAGCATGAATGCAAAGCGATACCTAACAATTCTTCTTCTTCTGAATCCTCCTGCTCCAAATCTGTTTACAGTGAGTGAAAGAGTGAGACCCCAAGAAGAAAATCACAAGAGTCTAAAGAGTTATACTCAATTACTCAACAAATTCTACAAGTTCCCACTTTAACAGACCTTAGAAACACAGTATCCACCTAATCTTACAATGACAACGTTAAAAATTAGTTCATTAGCTAATAACTCATGTTTCGAAGTCGCAAAACAGAAGTTTGGCTACTTAAGTGAGCAGAATGAGAAAAACAAAGTCATCTAGTCAAACCTATCAGTTTGGGATTAAGGCTTAATTGAGCAATTGAGCAGACCAAAGACTAATAAAAGCTGGGTCATAGGAACTTCCACATCATATGAATTCTCCAAATGAGAGTGCACAAATACCAGTAAATAAGATAGCTTCGAATCCTAAGATTATTTGCACTTCAACTGTAATGTGTGACAATAATGTTTACAAGGGAGATGTCAAATATCCATCACTGTAACTTTCTTTTCAAACCAGCCTCTTGGTCATTGTCATCGTTTTCTTAAAAGCCAACTTGACTACTTTTCTTTTCTCATGCACAATGCTCAAGGATTCCAAAACATGAGCAATCAAACATTTCAATAGCACACCTAGTAGAATGCAAGATTAATACCACATATCCAAATAATTCTATGTCACGTGAGGCATACCTTCATTATATCTCCATTTCTCTTTGTTTTGTCTTCGCTCCAAGAGTACGCTGCCTGCCACAATCATAACATAGATCTCACAGTGTCAACAAACAGCATAGAAGATAAACCGAAGAGCAAAACAACCGTAGAGCAAGTAAAGCATACCTAGGCTAAGCTTTTGTTTCTTTGATTTTGGTCTAACCTTAAAAATTCCCGACATGGTTCGTTTTGCAGACTCAACATTGTCACTTGGTGAAACCATTGCGACGTACTTATTAACTTCTGCCAACGCTTGAAACCAAAAGAAAAAAAGGGAGGAGTCAACTTTAACACAAAGGTTCTTTTTCCTGGGGGAAATCTGAAAAGAGAGGGAGCAAACTGAGGAAACTAACCACGGAATTTTTGAGCCTCTGCATAAGTCATGTAAGCTTGAAACAAACAGATACTGCAGTATCGATAAAAAGAACAGAGTTCAGACTTGTCACTGTTGAAGAAACATAAAATTGTATCATTCACCTAATAGCATATAATTCAATCCATAAGCATAAAAGGAGTAAACTCCACCTACACCTTTTTTAGTTTCAACCTTTTCTCACATTGCACCCTGTAATTTGTTTTTTTTTTCTCAATTGGCACCTGTTATTAAGTTTTGTTCCCACAAGGGATTATCAAGTTAATTTCATTTAGTGATATTATCAAAATACCATCAATTCAAAACGCATCGTATTTGTTCACACTGAAGAGTATTATTGTAATTTCATCAAGTAAATTGATGATGTAATCCCTTTGTAAGTAAAACTCATTCACAAAGTGCTAATTGAGAAAAAAAATAAGAAAAAAAGTTAAAACCACAGAGGGTATATGTGGAGTTTACCGATCATTAGACTAGAGTCAAGCGAAAGAAAGACTTGCTCTTACCATTTAAGTATGTCTAACAGCAAAGCTACCTGCTCATCACGGTCATTCATCTCTAACAAGCCTACCCTGTGCCACTGTGGCTGCATAAGGTGGAGCAATGAAGTGTCAAGAACCAGTTTTAAAAGAGCAGAATGAAAACTGAAAGCAACAGAAAAAATCATATAGAGCATACCCTTTTTTCTATTCGTATATAGAGAAAGATTAGTGCCATAACTATTCGAGGAACCACCGGAGTCCCGCTGATATTATCTTCTGTTAAAGCATAAAACAATATCGATGTAAAAAAAAAACAAAATCAACGAAAATCAATACACACATTAAGTCCCAAAATAGTTAAGACAGGCAGTGATAAATAAGTAAAGAAAGGGTAAAATCAAATAGAAAACCTAATAAAAAAATTACTGCCTCCCAGTCTGTTACATTTTTCAGTCCATCTTATTCATAGCCAAAAAGAGAAGAAGATTATATAATTTAAGGAATACATTTCTTCTTAACATCTTCTCCTTCACTGATTTTGTCTTCAGGCAGCATCATCAAGGGGGACTCTACCTCAACTGCATTTAATAAATCAAAGAAATTTCAATATAACTCAACTAAGGCAACAAAAGAAAAGCAATTATATGACGATTTCAAGCTATTGATTTTGGGGTTTCGGTTCGGAACAAGAACAACTCTCTAAACAAGATGATTTGAAATTCAATATAATTGAAACCCACCACCATATCTTATGCATGCAATCCTACGATCAACATAATTTCAAATAAAATAAAATAAAATAAAATCTTGGAGACAGCAGACCAGAATCAGATGATAATAAGTTCAAAGTGAAAAAGAGTTAAGAACAAATTCGAAATCCATAGGAAAGGCTGAGGAGCGAGACCTGACAATGAGAGGGAGAAGGAACCGCTTGCATGGGAATGAAGTCTTGCTTCTCCACGAGCCAATGCGGATGCGTTACTTTTTCCACTTTTTATAACGGCCGCCCTTATGACCATGTAAGCAGGGTGTGCTATTTTATTAATTTTTTTTTATTTTTGTAATTGTTAATTTATTGCTTAAATTAATTGGATTAATTTAGTAATCAAAATATGTAGTAATTTTTTTTTTTTGCATTGTATGAATATTATTGATTCACAGCAGGGATACAAAAGTTAGATAGAGTTTCACGAGTTATACAATCAATTGGAAGCCAAAAAGAATAAGGGCACCAAAACTATTACAAGAGGCATAGGAAAAATACAAATACATCTATACAATCAATAAAGATTCCAACACCAGCAAATGATATTCAATATAATTAATTAAACACATTATAAATTAGAAAGCTAGAAGAATGTTTCACGGATATTATACGACTGTAAGAGGAGATGAGTTTTTGGACTTATAATCTTTCTTCTACATGATATGGATGTTTCGTGTTTTTTAAGTTGAGAGTATAGACTTGTGACAAATGGTATTAAAATTTATTTAACTTTTTATTTATGTGAGACTATCCTCGAGAGATACTAAAGTCGAAGTAAATCCAAATCAAGGTGAATTTCTCTCCTTTATGGTTGAAAGAATCAAGACAATAAGTGTATTACACAATTAGGTTAAATAAAATATCACGGATCTTACATTAGTAAGAGATGAGATAAATTTTAAATATACAAATAAAATTTTTTTCACTTGATGGATATATCTTTTGAATTAGAAGTATAGGCTCATGACAATTGACAAATGCATTAAGGTAGTGTTGGGTATTAATTTTGAGATCACGACAATGATCTAAT